TCGGCTCACCACAACCTCCGCCTCCTGGGTTCAGGCAATTCTCCTGCCTCAGCCTCCTGAGTAGCTGGGATTACAGGCACGCACCACCATGAGGGGGCCCACTTTTTAAATCACCATTTTAATTGACACCCATGAGGTGAGCATGGTGGGAGGGGCTTGGGAGGGGAATGTCTGTAGCCCCAGCTACTAAGGAGGCTGAGATGGGATGATGTCTTGACCCCAGAATTACAAGGCCAGCCTGGGGAACACAGGAGACCCCATCCTTAATAAAAATTAAAAATAAAATGGCACCCATTTACTCTTTCCTCTACATTGCCTTATAAAATAAGCATCTGTTGCTACAATTCTTAATTTGCTATTATTTGACGTAATAGGAAGCACCTTTTTCTATATGATGTAATATACACATTTCCAATTAAGTGGAGGGCATTCCCATGGGTTCTGAAAAAGTGCCACCCTTGCCTTTCCATAAAAGGAAAAATAAAATGTACCAAATACAATTTTGTCAAAGAATTATAGAAATTATTAATAGAAATTAATTATAAAGCATTCAGGAAATGAGTGAATTAAAGGTAAATTGAAGTTTTTCAAAAATATGTTTTTGCTGGTAGAGCATGGTGGCTCACACCTATAATCCCAACACTTTGGAAGGCCAAGGCAGGATGATTGCTTGAGTCCAGGAGTTTGATACAAGCCTGGACAACATGGCGAAATCCCGTCCCTACAAAAATTACAAATAATTAGCTGGGTGTGGTCCCTCATTAACAGATTTTCTTCAAAAACACTGGTTCACTACCAGCTGTTTTTGAGAAAGTTTTACTTGGGGTCAGGTATGGTGGCTCACCAGTACTTTGGGAGGCCAAGGCAGGCTGATCACCTGAGGTCGGGAGTTCGAGACCAGCCTGACCAACATGGAGAAACCCCATCTCTACTAAAAATACAAAAAATTAGCTGGGCATGGTGGCACATGCCTGTAATCCCAGCTACTCAGGGGGCTGAGGCAGAACTGCTTGAAACTAGTGCCACTGCACTCCAGCCTGGGCAACAAGAGCGAAATGCCATCTCAAAAAAAGAAAGAAAGAAAGAAAGTTTTATTTTGTAAATAGCGAATATTAGTAGATCCAAAGTTAAAAGTACTTACTTGGGTTGACACATAGTAGTCAAATTTCAAGTGTCCAATCTAAGGGATGGATGTTTACTGTTAAAATGATCAAGTCAACCATTTCCTTTAAAAACAAAATCCAGCCGGGCGCGGTGGCTCAAGCCTGTAATCCCAGCACTTTGGGAGGCCGAGGCGGGTGGATCATGAGGTCAAGAGATCGAGACCATCCTGGTCAACATGGTGAAACCCCG